CAATTTATTTTGACCTTTTCTGACGCCTTCGTTTGAGCGTTTGCTGTAGACACGCAGAAGAAGGAATTGATCTATGTCGTAGTCCGAAACCCACTGAAAGACCCACTGGAGACCCGTCCTTCAGATGAGACCGTATAAACCGAGGTCCCATGTTGGCCCTGAGTGCAGAGTATAGTTCTGACATTTAAAATCATCTAGAGCTAACGGCGTCTCAATTTGAGTGAAAATGTCTCGAAAGAAACAAACAACTTTTAGAATTTCACTACTACAGAAAGCTTCCACATAAGTTTCTTCCTGGCCCAGTGGTTCTTGAGAAGAAGATGTTTTTAATGATCCCACGCTATTTTGTCTTTTCTTAATTATCTGCCCTTGAAAGGACCTTGGCCCTTCATTTTACCAATTTAAACTCCCCTTTACCCAAAGATGCTTTGTACCAAGTTTGGTTAACTTGGTTTCAGTTGTTCTTGAGAAGTTGAAATTGTGAAAAGCTAACAAACGAACAGACGGGCAAAAAGGCAGGCAGACAACGTACAACGGGTGATAACGAAAAGCTTCGTTGAGCTGTCAGCTCATGTGAGCTAAAAAGTTTATGCATTGCAAAACAAAGATCCCTTCTGATTACAAGGTAAAATTAAAAGTAAAAATCATACACTACAAATAAGATTTACAGATGAGACTAGTTTCCCCTGAAATTTCGCAATAATATTTTATATCACAACATCAATTTTAATTAAAAGAAACTACCGATTTTGAGGTCAAAAGGTTGAAGATAAAGGTCCGAAACCTATTCATTCTTTTTGTGTGTAACACCTTGGTTTCAAAACAATATATATATCAAAATTAAAAATTTGAGATTTTATAATGACAAAAATTATAACAAGTAAAAGAGGACCCCTTTTACCTTGAAGTCAAAAGTTAAAAACTTTCTATGTCCTTAAATTCAAAATAAGCCTTTCTATTTGATGTGTTTGCGTATATATCACTGACAGCTTAAAAGTTTGGTATCTAAGTTAACTCTTTGTGATTGTAGTACTACATGTACATACATCGTCTAAAGCCAGATATAGCTCTCTCGTACCCGTGGCTGCAATTGACCACATAAATTGCCGTTATCTTGAATATTCATGTTTCTATGGGATGACGTCATGTTCAACCAATGTGACATTTTATTTCCATCGCAACTGGAATAAACAATGAACATCAGCAATAAAGAAAATAATTCGAAAAAAAAAACTTCGCTGCTTTATTAGTTGGTCTCTCAAAGTTCATTTCCGACTATGTTTTACGCGTACGGTAATTGGTCAATACAAATGTATTTCAATTAGCTACAAAAAGTTTTCATCTTATTTAACAGCGTCAAGAATAGGAGAACATCGAGCTATGATAATCCATCAGTTACAGGAAAGAAATCCACTATAAATTACATGTAAATTCTTTGCAAAAAATGAAGATCGTCGAATAGTCCTCGTTGGTAAAGGAGAAAATTAAGAACATTGCTCTATTTATAAGACAAATTCGGTAAACTTTTATTAAACTTTTAAACAGATGCATAATGAGAGACTTTAATGTAAGTCGTGTACTGGTCTTTATTTTATTAAATCATCAAGATGTAAGACTCGCAAAAAAAAAAAAAATTAAAATTAAAATTCCTCAAATTTAAGATAAGTGACAGGAGGGGTGATAAAGCAACGACGACGTATTTAGAAACAAAAAATCTTATAGCATGGAAAAATCTTTATTTACATGAAAATTCTTAAATTTTCAAAGTCTAGAGATATCTTGCGGAAACAAAAGTGTTTCAGAAAGACAGAGACGGACGTACAAAGAGACAGATCAAATTTAGAATTCCCCTTTTTCAGTAAAAGCGGAGAACGATTACATTGGTTTTTGTAGCATATCTAATGCTTATACAAGGGCCCATAGCCAAAATCGCTCACCTTAGCACAAAAATCAATCCAGTATTGAGAACTGAAATGCAAAAGTGGTCCCAACTATTCCCTAAAAAAAGGGGGGGGGGGGCGTATTGTTTCAATTTACTTAAATTTACACTAACTAAGAATACTTATATATTTCTTTGACTTACTGTGGTTTTTTGTCACTATGCTTTTTTGCTCAACTCTTCTCCAAGTGTTCACAATTTGAGCAAGTTTGAATCTACAGTACCTGAGGATGCTTCCGTATAAATAGGACCAATTTAATTTTTTTCCAATATATTCATATGTTTCAGAATTAGCATATATTTGATCATCCATTGCCGCCCCGCCCTACCCCGGGGATCATGATTTGAACAACTTAGAATCTACACCACCTGAGAATGACTCCACGTTAGTTCCATCTTTCCTGACCCAGTAGTTCTTAAGAAGATCATTTTTTACGAGTTGATGGAACATCAACTCAGTTATCCTCTTGCTCAGGTTTTCTGCATTTTAGCCAAAGAACACAGCTTATTTATTCGGTTCATTCTAAAAGAATTTATCTCTTAGTTTTAAAAGTTTAACATAAATGAAAGCAAACATATTGTTTCTACACATTTTACCGTTTCTTTTCAAAAAGCAGATTGATATTAGGTGTAAAAAAATATTTTTATCGTCAGTCCGACAAAAAATATAAGCAGATAGACTGAACTACTTTTCATCTTCATATGCACCACGTGTATGTATGTAAACAACAATGAATGCGCTTTGGCATGAAAAAATTGACAGGATTACTTGGAGAGATAAAGGAGCCACATCAAGGTAATTGCATTTTATGCATAGCTATATGTAATACTGAGAGATAATTTTGCTATTAATTCAGTGAGTCTACGATCAGACCGAGATCGAGTATACGTACGCAGGTTGCATGTTGTTATGGGTACAAGTCAAAGCGGCACCTGGTGAAAACGGCATTTAGGAAATGTGCAAAACAGCACTTCAGAGTAGTCAAAACGACACTTTAGAAAGTCAAAACGGCACTTTTTTTATTTTGAGAATTTGATATTGTTTATACAGAAAATGGATCTTAACATTACATTTATAGTAATAAATATGTATATCATTATTTGATAAAATGTTTTAAAAACATTGTAGGAAAAAAAATTGACTAACTTATTTGAAAATTATCATACTTTTGTACAGTTGTTAGATTTTTTAAAATTTACTTTATGATAGTTGTCTATGTGCTTTCATTTGCTAAAAAAGGCAGCAATTATAACTTGTATATTCATATCGTGAAAAGAAAAAAATATATTTATCAATTGTTTTCTAATCAAAACACAAATTAAAGCATTACGATTTAATTACATTTGAAAATATAGTGCAGCATGGCATGGAACTGATATCCGAAATCAAATGAAATCAGCTTTCATGTCTCCGTAGCAAAATAGGCCCGTGCGACCGTCCCGTATTTAGTACTAAAAGTACGTCGTACCAAGGAACAGTTTCACATGTATTAAATTATCAACCATTTTCCTACGACACATTTTGCATCGGATTTATTTCCCTTCGCCGCCTTCTTGTAGGGCAAACTAGCGAATTTTCCTCTTGGAGCAACTAACTTTAAACATGCATGCAAGAAAAATATGCCTGGGCGTTTAGAGGAAATATACTGAAAGGAAAAAGAAACGCATAAAAACGTAATATGGAAAAAAAGTTGACTATGTGGCCGAAAAATATGGAAATGGGTCAGATGTGTATTCTGGTTACTTTGCACTAAAATCAATTGTCGAACCTACTCAACCATGAATTTATGGCGTCACGTAGGGGAAATGATAAAAAGTCAAAAACACGTGCATGTTAATGATGATAATTTTATGATAAAATTTTGTAGTGTCATACGATGCATTAGAGTTGTAGAAATTTTTTTTGCATATTTGTAGTCAGTATGAATTTCTTTCAATCGTGGCATGGCTGACGGAAGCTACTGTGGATTTAGTAATTGAATTCAATATATTGCATAAGTGAATAAAAAGGCAAAACATGCTGTTGTACAGATTGTTTTCAACTTTTTAATCATGTAAAAGTTTTTTTTAGTTGTCAGAGAGTTTACTTTAAATGTTTCCAACCAACCATGACGGCGACGTTGGCGCGTAAAAACGTCACAACAAGATAGGGCTTTTCATCATGCCACCTCGGTTATTGTCAAGGCATTATCACTGAAACTGATATTTATACAGCAGACAATCATACTCATGCTCTAATTTTGGCCGCGAGCTTGGCCACTTTACGTCGATTTTACTCTCAAACGCGCATGCACACGTCGTTTGGGTGATTTTTTTAGCATGTTTACAGTGGAAAAATTTAGTTAGTGTTTGTCGAGACTTTTTAACAAACATCCACGTGTACAAAACCTGCTGGGTTTTGTACATTCTACTGGACTATCCTAAATCAAAAATTCGTACTCGATTGGGCGGGGGTATTTGTTGGCTTTGAAATAATACAACTAATCTCAGCCATTAAGGCTACCGTCGGAAGGGTTGAATAATAATGTTCTGAAAAAGATAAATACTCTGGTGAAGTCAGTGCACAGGAAAATCAAGTTTGTTACTGATGCGAAAGGGAGATTATGATAATTTTTAGTTTTATTTTTGGGGAGTGTCGGCATATTGATATCAATATCTCTGGAATTAGCACTCAAAATCACACAAAATTTTAGTAACTTGTTGATTAAAGATGGATTAAAATGTATGATAACAATGGTGGAAAACATATTTGAAATAATTGTTTTAATTAAACTCTAAAATTTAATTTGCGTTTCTTAATCCTTTCAGTATATTTAAAAGTTAAAAATTAAAGGCTCTAACAAACATATTTTATAAGAAAGAAAAATAGTGTTATCTTTACCTCTGTAATTGCTATAGCAAATTGAACTTGGTTGAATAATGAAGGGATCTGGGAATGTTTGCCTAAAATATGGCGGACATGGGGAACAACTTTTGCTTAAATCAACTCAATGAAAAACACTCTATTAAGAAACAGATTATTTTAACAATAATTATATTTATTGATAAAGCTTTTTGCCAGTTATGAACTACCTTGTTGATTTTAGATTGTATACATGTAATTACAGTACAAATAAAATATTTTTACAGTGTTTAGCAGATATATAGCAGTGTTTAACAACATCGTTAGAAAGTACATACACAACTTAAGTTCTATGTGAAACTTGCTAAAAGTGATTAAGCAAATAAATATCTTAACATTTATGAAACACAAATAGCAGCACAGCCCAGCAGTAATGAAAACTTTGATTGTAATGATCAATTTTTAAATCGACAGAAGAAATTTTTGAACTTATTGAAGATATTTTTCAATTTTCCGGTGAATCCTTTTCTTAACTTCGTCTTCAGTGGTTGACCCTTAAAAGAAAATTATATACTCTGATATGAATGTCTTTTATGAGTCATAATTGAAGATCAAAATACAGTTTATTTAAGTTTAATTTATCATGATGACTTAAACGAATTGAAATTCAGGAAATATTTGTAAAAGAATCCCTGCATCATTCAATAGCCCTCGGGTACACAAAAATTGTTGCTCTTTAGTTTTTTAAAGTCGAAATACATTTTCAGGGGGTAAAAACAATCTGACCTGAATTAGTTCCTTAAATATCTTACAGAAAGACGACGACAAAATATTAATTATGCAAGATAATAGCTTGATTTCAAAGAATATTCTTGCTAAAAAAATGCATCTTTTTTCTTTCTTTTTGAAGTTCTCATCGATATAAATTTCTATCTGAGATTGTCTTTAATATACTAATAAATTAAATTTATCAAGTCCTAGTCTGAAGTGTAATATAATGTAGTTTTGATAACAATTTCCCCATAGGCATCCATCTCTGTACGTTGGTCAATCAATTTACCTTTTCTTTATTTCTATTGTACAAACAAGGTTTCTCTATATTGCCGGAACCTTTACTCCAAGATATCACATGTGTCAAAAACACACAGGTTACTGTGAAATATGAATTTTTAAAGCTCTGCAGTTTTTATTCCAAGAACACCTGTGCGGTAGTAGTACGAAGACTGACCTGCAGTACAGTTTGGCCTGCTGCTAGCCAGAGAAAATTGTCAGAATGGATTAAGTGATTCAGAAATAAGTCACTTATAATAAAAAAAACATGAGGCTCACGTGGCTTATTTGTCAGTAGTATCATGTAACAACATTCCAACAATTGAAATTAAAACCAGTGGCCATGAAATTCACAAATTTAAAAAAGACATCGTTGCTTTTTATAACTTTACCCTTAGCATGCTTTAACTTTTGTTACTTAATAACCAGAGATAGATCAGAGTAACATAGAGAAAATGCATTACTTCTTTATAACCACTGGTTGTGCACCTATTCCACAGGAACCACTGACTCGGGGCAACACATTTCAGATTTTTGGAAATTTTATCATAAATTTATTTCGTCATAAATGTTTAATTAATACCAAAGAGCAGATTTCAAAGCATTAATTTATTTTTAAAATATGTACCCCGCCTCCCAGTACCCTTGACCAAAAGGCCCTGAAATTAACCATTTTGGAATGGGCACCTTTCTTTATCATAAGATTGGCATAATACACAGGAGCAAAAGAAAAGAATTTCAGAGAATTCATGCAATTTCACGATATAATCATAAGAGCCTCGCCCTTACACAAGAACCCCTGGCCCAAGGGTCCTGAAATTCACAATTTTGCAAGAAGCATCCTTCTTCATCATAACTATTTACATAATTCATTTGTTAAATACCTAGGAGAAGAGGAGAAGATTTCTAAAAGAATTTATGCATTTTCAATAATTAGTATTTAATCAATAGAGCCCCATCCTAACACCAGAGTCCCTGACCCATGGACCATAGAATTAAAAGAAAATGGAAGAGGCATTCTCTTTCATTATAAGTCTGCACTCAGTTAGTTTGTATAATCCTTAGGAGCAGAGAAGAAGATTTTCAAAGAACTAACGTATTTTCACTATATAATCAATAGAGCCCCACCCTAACTCCCGATCCAAGGGCTATGAAATTCACAATTTTGGAAGAGACATTCTTGCTCATCATAACTGTTTACTTGGTTAGTTTGTTTAAAACCCTGGAGCAGAGAAGAAGATTTAAAAACATTTTTGCATTTTCACTATATAATCAAAAGAGCCCCGACCTAGCACTAGAACCCTTGATCCTGGGGCTATGAAATTCACAATTCTAAAAGAAGCTGCCTTTTTCAATATAAATATGTACTTGGTTGGTTTATTTAATGGCCAGGAGCAGAAAAGAATTTTTCAAAGAATAATACATTTTCACTGTATAATTTATTTACATGGGACCATTGCTTATCATAACTATGTACTTGGTAAGTTCATTTTATACCGAGGAGTAGTGAAGAAGATTTTCAAAGAAATAATGCATTTTCACTATATAATCAATAGAGCCCCACCCTAGCACCAGAACCCCTGACCCTGGGGCCATGAATTTCACAATTTTGGTAGAGGACTCAATATTAATTACAATCATGCCAACAGTTTGACTGCTTGATATCCAGAAGTAAAGAAGAACATTTTTAAAGATAATATTGATTTTAGTGGTTTTGGCCCCTCCCCTCAGGTCCCAGGAGGGCAGGGACCATGAAATTCACAATTGTTATTTACCTTTACTCACAAATGCTTTATGTTAAAATTACTGTAGAAGTACTTTTTCCGCGTGGTATTAATTTACGCTATGTACGCGATCACATATTTTTTTCGCGGAAATTTATCCAAGCGTACTTAATATAAATGTAAGGGATATATTGACAGTCTAGAAAATCCCCGTAATTTTCTAGCAGCGGAATAAACAGAAATTGAGATTCCGCGGAATGATAACCCCGTGGAAAAAAGTACGTCTACAGTAGTTGAAATTGGTTGAGCGGTTGCAGAATAGAAGCTGTAAATGTTCAAATGTTAACATAAGACGAACGACGAACGACCCACGACGAACCACGACGGACAAAAACAGATAGCAATATGTCAACTGAGTTTATTCAGGTGACCTAAAAATACTTATCATCAGTTTAATATATGTCTTATTGTTTACAACATTAAGATAATATTTTATATTACAATAAGACAGTTAATTTTGCTTTTAAATCCCCCTTTAACTTTACCCTTTTCAAGGCTTCAGTCTTGTTGTATAATTCTGACATATCTGAAGAACGCATATACATTTCGACCTCCCTTCGAGTGATATGCAGTAGATTTCGACGGAGTTCTCCGTATGGACCATCTGTCTCTATGCTGCAGAACCGCTGGAAAAATAATATGTTGTCAAAACCTCAGAAATACTCTAGTATATTTGTTTACTTCTAATATTGGTCTTCCGCGTGGCATAGTGGTAAAGCCTCTACTCTAGAGTCGCGGAGTAAGGCGTTATAAAACAATTAAAGGAAACAAATTTTCCAAATTAAAGTGATAATATTAGTGTTCTATTGTCATTTTCATAGTTGTACTAAACTCAGTAGAATATCCACAAATCCTTTCTCCTATTTAAACGACATTAAGAAATAATAATAATAAAAAAAATGAATATCCGCTATTTTGAATCTCCAATTGCAGAATAGTGAGATGCAGAGAAAAAAATACAAATCAACGGAGTATAGAAAGTTGCAAATGTAAAATCCCGAATTAAGCAAAATATAGGAACAATAGACAAATAAATCAGAGAAAATTCGAATTAAGTGTAGAAACGACTAAATTTTCTGAATTAAACGGATAATGATAGCATTCTATAATCATTTTTATAGTTGTATTACACTCAGTGAGATATTCACACATTACTTCTCAATTTTGAACGACATTAAGAGAAAATTAGAAAAAAATTGTTTGTCCGCGAATTCAATCGCCATTTTGACCTCTTTAACCCATTTTCATGAAGGCCAGCATATTTTGTCGGTTTCAGTATACTCGAAAATAGGTTGAAACGCTATGCTGGACCAAATAATGATTATTTGCCGTTAGAAGATATTTCTAGCCTTCTTCTTTTTTTAAATCAGGTCCAGACTACGATTAAAAAAGCGACATTTAAAACAAATATATTTTACCATGATCATGTACTTCACTCGTAAAATAATGCGATTTTGAGTTGTTACCGATTTTGGTGAAGTGATTCATTTAAATACGAGTATCGTAATTTACAAACTCAATATCAAAATATTCCAAACTTCATTAGAAGCCAATTTTGGGCATCACATCCATTCCAATCAGGTGTTGATCAATTCAATCAATTACAAGTCAAAACACGTATTAGCGTCAATATAATTGGATCTACATGAGAACAATAGCCGCGTGACACATGCCGTTATGTAATATTGTGAGAAAGCAGAGTTTAAATTGAATGCAACATTTAGTCAACTTATATATAAATTTTTGAGAATAAAGTTATTCTTTGAAATCTTGAAATACCTGTTTGATGCATGCTTGACTTTGTTTGCACCTATTTAGGATAGCGATACATAGAAGATATACATAATTATTTACGTTCGTATTTAATCATGGAGAACTTTTATACCCTCAGTACAGATGTAATTCAATGCATTTCATTCCTAAGTGTACTTTAGAAACGCTATGACAAATTTCCGCGGTAATTTTGTGACCGTGTTCATAGCTTGAATTTATCCAACGTACGTCTACAGTATCTTGTGCGAAACTACTTGGTGATTACATTGACAGGTGTCTTACATTGTTTAAACATGTTGAAATTTTAACGAAAAAACTTGCTTCCAAAATACCGGTGTTATATGTCTAGAATAAGATCATTCGTGTCCTATGAGTTATTGTTTTTTTTTTTTAAATGCAGAATTGTTTTTCTCCATTTTAATTACTGCTGTGCTGTTTTGGGCAAAATGAAAAGCAAAGTAGGTCTTAGAAAACTATGTAAACTCCACATGCGAGCCGCTAGATTGATTTTTAATAAAACTTTTTATACACCTACATCGAAAATGTTTCTACAACTGAGATGGATCGATGTCATTTTATGACTTTTTTATTTACAGAACTGTCATCCTTGTTTGAAATAAATAGTAGATCTACAAGATTAAGTGAAAGCAATGCATTGTATTTTTCAAGGACAAAAACAGAATATTTTACAGATTTTTTACAATTTACGTTCCCAAATATGGAATGAATTGCCGGAATTTTAAAATAATAATATATAAGAAATTATTTCCAGTCTACAAACTAAAGTGTTTATCCATTACATTATGTTTGCTGAGTGTTGTTAGAAGCAATTTGTTTCTGTATATAATTTTTGTCTGTATAAATGTTTTCAGGATCACAATCTAAACTAGTTGTAAACTAATAGTGCTATCCTGCATTTATAAAGGATTGATTGATAGTATATTGTTTAACCTTCCTCTCGAGAATTTTTCACTCATATGGAGACGTCACCGTATGCCGGTAAAGGGCTTCGAATTTTGACCTTTTTTCGGCACTTAGGTCCATTGAGCAGTGAGGTATCTTTATCATGTCAATGCCTGCCGCTTACACGGAGCCTCGGTTTTTAAGTTCTCATCCGAAGGACCCGCAACTTTCACTTCAAACTGCCGAGCGCATGGTGAAGGAACAGTTGCTTCCCAGTTTTTATCGACTTAGGTCATGGTCGGCCGAGATACGAACTCACGACCTCCCAATCACGGAGTGAGCGTTCTTTTAATATATACCGACTGAGTTACCGTGAAGGTTCATACATAAAGGACATTATTATTATTATAAATCTTAAGTTCTCGAGTTCGAACCCCATTTCGCGACGTTGAGACACGGTCTTTCAGATGAGACAGTATAAACCGAGATCCCGTGTTGCAGTAGATATTGGCACGAAAAGTATTCCTCACTGGTCCATAGCCCTGAGTGCTGGGTTTAGGTTAAAATTTTCAGACCTCCACCGGCAAGTGGTGACGTCTCCATATTCTCGAGTGGGATGCCAAACAACAAACAATCAAAAAAAGGCCATTGAGCAGCAATGGCTCTTTATGTTTCGAAGAACCCGCAACTTTTCCTCTAAAATGCCGAACATTTGACAAAGGAACATGTACAGTTGCTAGCTTCTTTATCGATTTATGTCATTCGCGGCTGTGATTTGAACACTCGACTTTCCGAACAAGGGGCGAGCACTCCACAGACTGATTAACCTTCACGGCATACGTGTGTTTTAAAGTTTATATTTTTTCATAAAAACAAACCCAGATCTCCCTTGGTATCTTAATTTTTTATTCCAAATATGTTTCTTCACTTAATATGAACGGTTTCCAAATTATATCCTACTTTTCCTGAATATTCTTGTGACTAAATTTATTGCATATCAACAAAGATCTTGAAGGAAAAGGTATGGCAACAGCCGCATCTGGTCCCTTTTTGATTTTGAAGCCAAAACACAGCTAAATTGTGATAGTTTGTAGTTGTTTAAAAAAAATCAGCACTAATTTTGATCCAAAGCTTACACAGAGGGAAAAAAACGAAAAATAAGATGTGTTTGTGAAACACTGATGCCCCCGTATAAGATTGAACTTTTTAAATGCAAATCTAATTAATTGGTACCAAAAGTAGGGTAATCTCACTGGGAAACAATTGTGATATTTGACAGTAGTTTTTTTCAATAAGTACAAAAATTTCAAAGGTCAAGGTCAAAAGGTCAAGGTAATTGGTATCCAGTGAAAGGTCTAGACACATAGAATTTTTATTTAGAGTATGTAAGCCCTAGCCCTAACCGTTCAGAAGTTATGGCAAAGGTTAATTTTTTTAAAAGTGGGTCAAACTCCATGATCAAGGTCAAAGGGTCAAAGTTCTTGTTATCAAATGAAAGGTCTTGTCAGATGGATTAAAAATGTAAAGTATGAAAGCACTAGCCCTATCCCTTAAAAATTTTGGTCAAGGTTTGGTTTTTTTAATAGGTCAAACTCAAAGGTCAAGGGGTCAAAGTGCTTGATATCCAATAAAGAGTATTCTCACAAGGATTACATATATGAAGTATAAAAGCCCTATCCCTTACCGTTCAAGTTATGGCCAAGGTTAAAGTTTTTTCACAGGTACGGAAATATACAAAGTCAAGGTTCGTGGGTCATTGTTGTTGCTATCCAATGAAAGGTCATTCAACAAATAATAAATATGTGAAGCATTAATGTCCTGCTGTCTACTGTTCAAAAGATATGGCCAAGGTAAAAGTTTAAAATTTTCATGTAAATGTAGGTAGGTAAAACTCCAAGGTCAAGGTCAAAAGGTCAAATTTGCCGGTACCCAAAGAAAGATCTGGTCACAAGGAATACACATATGAAAAATGAAAGTCATAGCTCCACTAAATCAAAAGTTATGGGCAAGGGGAAAGATTTGCGGAGAAACAGACAAACAGAGAGATAGTGAGACAGACAGACAGACAGCTAGACAGACAGACGGACACGACGAAAAAACTATATACCCCCGAAACTTCGTTTACACACTGCTCAACGCGTTATCGGCAACTCAGTTGTTATCGGATACTCGGTGCAGGAAAAAACAATGCAAAGGAAACGTAGGTGATTTTAAATTTCTTCATTCAATGATAATTGTGTACTTCTGCAAACAAATTTTGTGATCTTTGGCAGATAAATGATAATACTTTCAGCGGTAAAAAGCACGATCCAAATCACACTCTTTTAAGAGATCTACAGCTCTTTAAAATGAAATTTGATAAAATTTTCTGAATATGTCAACATATTTTAGTCTTTGTAGAGGTCAGAATCAATTTGTTTTATAAAATAAAATATATACATTTGTGGTATCTCTCCATTATATAAACATACAGAGAAAAAATATCTTCAATTCTGTATGAAGTTTGTCAGAGGTCAGAGGTCAATACGTGACCTAATCACACGGCGCAATAATATCTACCGGTACAAAAATTATAAAATGACCTGCTCTACTTGCTTTTCATGTATAAAAATGAAAAAAAAATAAGCAAGTAAAATGATAATTAATTTATTTACAATGTAAACTAGTATTTCATACAGTTTGTTGGCTATCGATTCAACCTGTGAACATAGAGAAAACTAGGCCTAGCGTTTGTTTACATTTTTTTTCACTTTTGTCAGCTGCACAGTGTCTAACGTTCATCCTAATTTTTTGGGTAGACGTTTCGTTAAATTTTCTTAATAAACTATTATTTTATCTTTAAATTCTACTCACGATAAAAGTGTCAATCTGTTGGAAAATATCATTGCAATCATGTCATGAACAGCTGCCAAACACCTCGGCGTTTTCGTAATTCAATGTAAAGCTGTCG